TCAACATGCTCACAAACATATTCGCTAAGCGCACCTCAGATGTGCGCTGAGCGAATAAAAACATATAGAGAAGTAAAATAGAAAAATTAAAAACACAAACAAAGAGACAGGGAAAAGAAGAAACAAAAATTTCAGAACGTGAGCACACCAACCAAACAATAGTTCCAATATGTAGAATGATTGAAATGGATTTCCTAAACAACCTCACTCAGATCCCTCTTGTTGCAAGATCACTTAGTACTCCCCTTTCGGCTGTTGAAATCCCATCTCCAGGATCTTCCAACAACTAGAAACATCTGTAGGCAAATTGCATAAAAGAAACACAAACAAAACAGACATACAATTGGCAAAGAATTCACTTTCCTTGTTTTCTAAAGTTAGAACACTCAGATCCCTCTTGTTGTGCCTACCTAAGTCTGATAAACCCTCACCCAATCCCTTAGTGTAAGACGTCCATCAAACTTGCCTTAAGTTCCAAAACAGTGAATCCAAACACAGCCCCATCCCTGGTGATTTGCATATCTGGTTTGATTTTTTTAGTTCCACTACTGAAATCTCATCCCTAAGAACTTTCAATAACTGCATCAAGCTCAAAGGCGTACCCCGAGACTGGCATTAAGTTCAAACTAAATTAATGGAAAGTCTTAAAAAAATAAAGCCAACTGGATACACAACAACATTAAAAAGGAAAATTCACAACAAAGTCTAAAAGAGTCATAAATGCACAAATTACCTTGTGTTGGAACACAAGTCCCCGACAACGGCACCAAAAACTTGATAACTTTTTGGCAAGTATACCAAATAGTTTCAAGTAATACATTGTATAAGTAAAAGTATCGTCTCTCAAGGGACTTGTGCAACACATGACAATTCTTTCTTTTATAACTCAATTAAACATCAAAATGCACAAAACAACACAAGAAACTCTTTTTGGTATTTTATGAAACAATTGGTGTGCAAGGAATTTATATTTAAAAGAAACTTCATTGGAATTGGGTTTCATGAATCATATGAAGATAAAACTTTGTACAATACATCATTATTTCATTCAAACATTCACATCAAGGCATGCTAGTCCTAATCTCTTAGCAACTAGTTCTAAATTTATATATCAAAATGCTAATCCCTTAGTCAATTTAACATACAATTTGCATTAAGTCTGATGCTAAGAATGACCAAGTTATTGAGTCTATCCCTAGATCCCAAATCACTTAGGTGCTCTATTTATGTTCATGTTCAAAGTTACTTTCCGGTAATAAGAAACATTCAAATAACATTATATTTTCATACAATGATAGTAAATTCAAGAAAGAGCATATGAACGAACAATGATATATTGAACAGGAAAGTTACTCCTGCCTCAGGACCGCTCAGGGGAAGTCAGAAAAATGGCTTCAGAAATCCCCGTTTAACGCAGGAAGTCAGAAAATCGACTCCTGCCTCCACTCGGGGGAAGTCAGAAAAATGGCTTCAGAAATCTCCGCTCAATGCAAGAAGTCAGAAAAATGACTCCTGCCTCAGGACCGCTCAGGGGGAAGTCAGAAAGATGACTCCTGCCTCAAGCCGCTCGGGGGAAAGTCAGAAAAATGGCTTCAGAAATTCCCGCTCAACGCAAGAAGTTCGAAAAAGAACTCTTATTAGTCAACTACTCAACAGGTTCAGCTTTGTCAGGTTCTAATGCATTTTCATTATTGAAATAAATATTGTCAGGTTCAAAGAGAACTCCTAGAGTTCGCCGCTCGGTACATAGAGCAATGAAGACTTAAAACATCGAAGATAGACTCCCTAAATACAACGTGAGCGACATCTTTTAAAGCTCATAATAATCCCTACGCACCTCTTTTAATAAAGAGCTTGCTCGGACTTGGGGGGCTTATGTACTATATGAAATATACCGATCGGAGTTAATGATCATTCATGGGCAATTATCAAGTATTAATAGGTCAGATTACCTTACGCTCTACAAATATACGGTATTAATTATTAATTATTCGGTTTGATTCCCTAAAAATATACTGATAACTAATCATTGGACTTGACTGTCACAAACTCTATAAATAATACAACTGATGTCAGGTACAATGATCTTCTTCTATCCTAATAAAATATAGACCTCTTTATGAAACATATGTGACTTGAGCGTCGGAGTGTCTTCTGCAGGTTAACCACCAATTGGGAAGGATTACATGAAGAGTTGGCCGATCGGAGCATAGCAAGGAAGAACGACCGACCCTCGGATAAATGTTACCGAAAGAGAAAGCAATCCACTTTAACACACATAAAAAAAAATAAAAAAGGTCAAAGTATAACCAATTTCTTACTATACATTTATGCATCACTACATAGGGATTTCAATCCTTGCATTAAAGTTTTGACCACTTGTGCTTGAAATAACATGTAAACAAGTAAACAAACTTTCTATTATGTGTGCATGCATTCATTCATCCATGTAGTCATGAAAATCATAACACACAATGCATCATCTTTGCATAAATTCATAACATGTACATAAATATGCTCCTCCAACATTTATTGGATTGATGATCCAAAAATGAAATGAAAATAAAAAATAATGAATGGAATTAAGAAACATAAAAAATTATTCAACGAGAAGGTTGAAAGGGAACATGTAGAAGTTAGAAGTCTAGTAAAAAGTCACCTGGGAGGGTTCATTCTACACTTGGGTCATCTCAAGTGGTTGCTTGAGTTCTGGTCAAGTTATTGTGAGCAAACAATAAACTACTATAGTTATATGGAGCATATGGTGATGGAGCTTAAAATTTAATCAGTTCAAATGGGCATAATGATAGATTGTGCCATGTTAGAACATACATGAAGGGTTAAGCATGTTACCCTTCCCTTCAAACTATTTGGGATCTTCACCCTTTCACAGTTTCGTTCCTAGCCTGAGCCTGGATTAAAATTTTGATAATCTACCTTTCTCTTATATATTCTACATTTCTTTGCTTTGAATTCTTTTATTATTATTATTATTATTAGTACAAGTGAATGTCTCATAGTGATTCATTACTTTTGTTAATCTTTGTTTAAGTGAATTTCAAGTTCAGAGCACACCTCTTACATTTTTCACAATAAATTTCATGTCATTCACAACAAAGTGTGTCAAACCTCAAAGTATACAATATGATAAAACTCTAATTAACAGAACCTCAAATTCAAACTGAACATTCAAAAATTTTTAGAACAACATTAAATTCCCGAAACAAGAATGAAAATAATAGGATAGAGCACATCAAATCATGCAATTTCAATTTAGGTCACATACCTTCGCCTTTGCTTTGCTTTCCTAGTCACGTCTGCTCCCTATATTATCTTTCTTCCTTTTTGGCCACAATTCGAATTTTCTAATATAATTTTAAATTTTTTTATCTTTAACTTATGCATAATAAGTTAATTTGTACAATTTTTTTTCATATAATTTTTCTAAAATATTATTTTTTAATTTATGCATAAACAAAATTTAATTTATGAAACAATTCATTTTATCTATTTATTTATTTTGGGACAGTACCTAACTTTATAATTTCTAATAAATAAAACGTTTGTTATAAATGAATTGATAAAACTTCTATATTAAGTGATTCTTATAGGATTAATCATATAATTTAGTTGTTGAATACATTACAATTTTATTTTTATTTTTGATCCTATTAAATTTGTTTTTTACGCTTAATTATTCCCGATTTAAGATATATGATCATTAGCCCCTTACACATTTTTTAATGTTTTTTACAAATAAACATGCCACAATTAAGAATGAAGCAGGAAATTACTTATAATATTTATTTTACTATTTCATAAGTATATTTTAATAGATAGTAGATATTTTAAAAAATATTTTTCTATTATATTTGTATTTAAATCTTCTTTTTTCTTTAATTTATACATCTTGTATCTATTGAAAAATAGTTATTTTTTTAATTTATTATGAATTTAAAAAGAAATGTTGTACAAGGTTAATAATAAATCTACATTATGAACAAACATAATAATTGGAAGTAAATCAAATGTAATCAAATTAATTTTGAATGAACAAAATATTATAAGATTTGAAATTAATTAAAAATTAAAAAAATTAATTATAGAAAATATGGTATAAACATATCTAATTCTATCATTTACATTTTAACCTACTTTAATTGATAAATTCATCAAACACTCGTAATTCAATAAAGTAGCTTAACACTTGTTTTTTTTACCAATTTTTAATTACTATCTAGTTTCTTAATTTTCAACTATCTTTCTCATTAATTTTGTTGAAATTAACTTTAATATTTGAGTGAAATTATACCTCTCTCTCACTTTTAAATTTGAATTTCATAATAATAATTGTGGTGACCCACTAAAATCTTTTAATTATTTTAACAATATCCTCTATAAATTACATATTAATTAAAAAATAATATAACATTTAGGCTTTGTTTACTTGAATGAATTTGGAGGAGAGTCATTAAGGGGATTTCAAGATAAAAATTTTGTTGTTGTTTATTTGAGTGGATTTGGAGGTAAGTGAGAGTCTATTTGGAAGTAAATTTTTTTAATCTATCACATCAATCAAATTCTACACTAATTCTCACAAATTTTACTTCTAAATCCACCCTCACTTACCTCCAAATCCACTCAAATAAACAACAAAAGAGTTACCTTTAAATCCTCTCAAATCCCATCAATCACTCTCTCCAAGTTTCAAAAGAGATGAGAGTATAATTTACTTAATATTGTACTAAAAGAGGAATTAGAGAGAAATTTCTAGATAGAATAAAATAAAGTATAAACCATAATCCTAGGTATGTGTAATTTGATAATGGTAAGCAAGGTTGATTGTCTCGTGCCAATATTTTATATTTGAAGTGGGAAAAACCAAATGATCACAACCTAGTACGGATCTTCTCCTTTGTTTTTTTCTTGTTTTCAACCATAAAGGGAATAATTGAGAGAAAATGAAAAAAAAATAAAAAATAATAACATACATGGGCACATCATCATCACAATTGACCACATACACATGTGTTCATTCTCACAAAACAAAATGTTAAGATACGGACACAGAAACACAGATTGCGTTAGAGAGAGAAACCTCGGATCGAAATTGTTCTTCTAAAGTTCTTATTTTTCTAACAACTATCCATATATTGTTCAACTCTTTCCCTTTGAATATGACATTATGTAACTGAGGATTGAGGTTAGATTCCTACCACCCACTTTCTATTCCCCTCATATGATAAACTCTTTGTCTTTTTTGATTGAAAGCTAAGTTTTCTTTCCCTTTCCATTAGATAGATATAGTGTGCATGTGAAGACAAGGACATTTCCAGAAAAAGTGTTTCTTAAAGACCCAGCAAAAATCCAGGCCTCTGATTCCTGAATACACACTCCCCTACAATGCCAACACCAATACTGTCTTCACGATTACGATTGCAATCTATTTCTATTTGGTGGGGGATCTAAAAAATTTGAGCTTGGATGCAATGTGGGTTGAATTAGGGCAGTTATAGGTGTCCTACCTGTCAGGGTGACCCTCTTGGATCTTCCACACAATGGCATTGTTCCGCAAGTTCTTCTATAAGAAGCCCCCAGATGGGCTTCTAGAAATCACTGAAAGGGTTTATGGTACGCTTCCTGTTGCCTCATTTTCTCTGAACTCATTGGTTCTGGTGGAAGTGAACAGTGTTGGTTTCTTCTCTGTGCAAATATATCATCCTTATGCATTTCGCCTTGGTGGGGGGTTGTGGTATGTAAGGCTTGTTAGCACATTTGAAGTGAATAATGGGAATATTATAACGTGTACATTGTTGGCTTCTGTTGAGTTCAAATGTTCCATCATTATGCATTGTGTTTGTGGTGGTTGGGGTATGTAAGCCTGTTTTGCATATTAAGTGAATGATGAGAATAGTATAATGCGAAGAATGTCGGCTTCTGTTGAGTGCACATATTTCATCTTTTTGCATTTTGTGTTAGTGGAGGATTGGGTTAGGCTTGCTTTGCATCTTTGAAATGAATAATGGGAACAACGTTGGTTTCTGTCGAGTGCAATATTTGATCTTTATGCATTTCGTGTTAGTGGGTTGTGGTATGGGGCCTATTTTGCAGATATAGAGTGAACAATTAGGACCCTGTAACTTTTCTACATTTTCATGTTACACAATGTATCATTCCATTCTAAATGTTAGTCCGTGAATAGGCTATTGACATCTTGTTTATGACTTAGCTGAATAGACGTTTTATCTTCTGGCGATGCATATTAGTTGTGGAAGGAATGGAGGTAATGGGAAGAACCTCCATAGAGTTGACACGGAAAACTCAGCTATTTTTTTTTTTCTGGAGAATTAAAACGTGCAATGCTTTTTGAACAACTTTATAATCTCTTAGAGTTTGGGTCTTCTGATTTTAGACTCTCGCTACTTAGCTTATATGTTTGGCATGTCATTTTACTTGGTAATTGATGCATTTCTTCATCATAATGAATCTATATGTCATTCATATGTGTGATTGTGATTATTGTGTCATTGCACGTGTAGTCTTTGATTACTGCTTTACCACGGATGTTATGGAAGAAGAAGAATATAGAGTGTATCTAGGAGGAATAATTGGGCAACTTCGTGGTCACTTCCCTGATGCTTCATTTATGGTGTTCAACATGAGGGAGGGAGACTGCCAAAGCCAGATTTCAAACATTTTGTGTGACTACGATATGACTGTGATAGACTATCCTCGACAGTATGAAGGGTGCCCATTGCTTACCATGGAGATGATCCATCATTTCTTGAGATCAGGTGAAAACTGGCTTGAACTTGGGCATCACAATGTTGTCTTGATGCATTGTGAACGAGGTGGGTGGCCGTTATTAGCATTTATGCTGGCTGCACTCTTGATTTATAGAAAGATGTTTACAGGGGAGCAAAAAACACTAGACATGATATACAAGCAAGCTCCTCGGGAACTTCTGCAGTTGATGTCACCATTGAATCCTTTAGCTTCACAATTGAGATATCTTCAGTACATATCAAGAAGAAATGTTGGTTCAGAATGGCCTCCTCTTGATAGGGCACTTACTTTGGACTGTGTAATTATAAGACTCATTCCTAACATGGGTGGAGAGGGTGGCTGCCGTCCTATATTTAGAATATACGGGCAAGACCCTTTTATTCCTGCAGATCGAACTCCCAAAGTTCTCTTCTCAACTCCAAAAAGGAGCAAACTTGTTCGCTACTGTAGGCAGGTGGTACCCAAGTCCTTTTACCCTAATTTAATATGCTTTTTAACACCCTTTCTTTTGTTCTTGCTACCTATATTGAGATGTTCCTTCCATTATATGTTCTTACTACCCGAAATGTTTTTTTTTTTTTCATATTTGTTTCAGACTGACTGTGAACTGGTTAAGATTGACATCCACTGTCATGTTCAAGGTGATGTCGTTTTTGAGTGTATTCATCTGCACAGTGATTTAGAGCATGAAGAAATGATGTTTCGGGTGATGTTTAATACAGCATTCATAAGATCAAATATTTTGATGCTTAACCGTGATGAAATTGACATACTATGGAATGCTAAAGATTGCTTCCCTAAGAATTTTAGAGTGGAGGTATTAATCTCTCTCACTCTCTCCTGTTTTTAGTAATTGGTTAGTGATAAACCAACTTAATGTTTGTGGGGGTTATATACTGTATTTCTGGTTGAAGGTTCTTTTCTCAGATATGGATGCTTCAACTTCTGTTATTTCAATTGATCTGCCTCGTGTTGAGGAGAAAGATGGCCTCCCTGTTGAAGCATTTGCGAAGGTCAAGGAGATTTTCAGCAATGTGGATTGGCTAGATTCAAAGGAAGAAGTAGCAAGTGTGCTCCAACAGATCACATCTTCAAATATCCTTCTGGAAAGATTAGACTCTGGGGTTTCTGCTGCAACAAGTGACTTGCAAAAGGAGTCATCTGAAAAGTCTACAGCTGTTTTGAAGGCATACAGTGATACAAACATTCAAACTTCTGCAGTTCAGGGGAAACATTCTATATCCTCATTAGGATCGTCTTTGGATTTAGCTATGGGAAATAAGACCGAACCATTAGAGTCAAAGACATTGTCCAAAAATGACATTGAGACTCTTGAATGTTCAGGTCAAGGGAACCAACCTATTCACTCATTTGGGCTCTCAAAAGATTCAGATTCTACTAAAAGGGGGACTGAGTCATTAGAATCCAAGGAGAAGGATATTGAGTCATTAGCATCCACTGATGCAGATTCATTGGCAAAGAAGACTGATTTGTTAGGATCAAAGGAGAAAACATTTGAGTCACTCAACTCCGAGGCATTTTTGGAAAATGATAGCAGATTCAAATATGAACCTAGGCCACTTGCAGAAGTTGATAACTCATCTGGTAGTGCTCCTATGGAAAAGAACAATGACCCTCTAGAATTAAAGGTATCACCAGAAAATACCCTCAAGACTTCTGCTTCCACGAGTCAGGGGAAACAGCTTACTCCCTCATTTGGACTCATAACAGATTCTAGTTCTCCTGAAAAGCCAGTTGAATCATTAGACAATGCCAAGGTTACAACATCTATGCCTCATGTGGAGAAGTCTATGCCTCATGTGGAGAAGTCTATGCCCTCAATTGAACCATATAAGGATGCATATTCAATGACACATGACATGGGACCATTAGAAACAAAGTCATTAACGGATGGAAATTCAATAAAAGAGAAAATGGGGCAATTAGAGCAAATGGTATTGTCAGAAAATGATACCAAGAGTGTCACATCCACAGCTCAGGGGAAACAATATAGTTCTTTACTTGAACAGCCCGTTGAAGCAAGCACAATTAAAACGAAAATTGAACCTCTTGAATTGCAGGTTTCCCTCCAGCTTCCCACTCAATCAAAAATAATTTCTTCACCGGTGCGTCCAGCTGTCCGATCTGCTTCTGCTTCCACTTCTTATTTTAACTCCTTAAAAGGTTCACCTGTAGCTATCTCAAGATATCGTAGTGCACCATCAGCTCTTGGAATAACATCTGTGTTGCAGGATCATGCAGCAGTGGATATCAAAGAAGTAACTCATCCAGTGACAGTATCTCCTCCAGCTTCTGTGTTGCCTCCTTCAGACTCCAAGGTGTTAAATTCTGTAGAGCCTAGTCCCACAGCTATTCCTCCAGCATCATCATCGCCTTTGCTTCCATCTTTACCTTTAAAAACTTCAGTTGATGCTCTTAAAACCACGGAAAAAACTTTTGAATCCCTTTCTCCTGCAGCTGTAACTACACCACCTCCACCACCTCCACCACCACCACCACCACCACCATCTTCTCAATGCGATCACACTTCAAATTTGATGCAATCTAATGCTACTCAGTACCCTGAGAATACAAATGAGGGTAAGAAACCATTGGTTGGTCCTCCTCCTCCTCCCCCATCCCCTTCAATGCTCGCTCCTCCAATCCCATCATTTTCTCCAGCCCCTTCCCTTCCTGAAACATCACTTTCCACAACCCAAGATTCATGTAAAGGTCCTCCTGCACCGCCACCTCCACCTGCGCTGTCTGGGTTTCCTTCTTCATTGGGTATAAATGAATCAGTTGCTATACCTGGCCCTCCTCCTCCTCCCCCGCCTCCACCTCCTAGCCTTTCAAGTTCTGCACCACCATTAGCACCACCACCACCACCACCCCCTCCTTCCGCTTCTGCATTCCAAAATTCTTTGTCTGAGAACTCCAAAAATGGTCCTCCTGTACCCCCACCTCCACCTCCTAGCCTTCCTGGTTCAACAATATCACCTTCAGCGCCACCACCACCTCCTCCTCCAGGTTCTGCGTCCCAAAATTCTTTGTCTAGCTCCACAAATGTTCCACCTGTACCCCCACCTCCCCTTTCTGCCAATGGATTGTCAAAACCTGGAGTTCCTGGACCACCTTCTGTTCCTGGACCACCTTCTGCTCCTGGACCACCTTCTGCTCCTTTTGGTGAAAAGGGTCGTGGCCTGATGCGAGCTAATGCAAAATTTCAGTCTAGGAGGAGCAATCTGAAACCTTACCATTGGCTAAAATTAACAAGGGCGATGCAAGGAAGCTTATGGGCTGAGACACAGAAACTAGATGAATTTTGTAGGTATGTGTCTTTTCTGAGTTCAGTTATAAATATCTTATATCTGATCTTATATGAACTGTACTCATTATTTATTCTTTTTTGAAAACCCTTTTCGGTGTTAGGGCTCCAGAGTTTGACATGTCAGAACTTGAAACTTTGTTCTCCGCAGCTTCCCCAGCTGCTAATGATGGAAAAGGAGGAAAGTTAAATCGCCGTGCCTCTGGGCAAAAAGTTGAGAAAGTTCAACTGGTATGCCTTTTCATTAACATTTAAGTAGTCCAGATAAAGAAACATATAAGTAGTTTTTCTTCATTTTTTGTCAGAAGAAGACCCAAAAAAGCGCTTTAACTATTCTAACATTTATTTAATGAACTCATTAAAATATTCGTTGTTAAATTTAAAAACAAAATTAGTAGAAATTGACATTTTTAATTAAGAGCTTTTATTCCACCATTTTCTCGTGACTGCTGCCATGTATGTGTAATGTTTTTCATTATAGGAACTTGAAGATAATTTCTTTTTCTTTTTTACCTGTGAGTTGGTTGTGATTTATCTGTGTAGGTTGTTTGGTATCCTGACTCTTATGTCTCATCTCATGCCTTTCTTTAATGATTAAGTGTTTATTTAATTCTTGTGAAGGCATTTTATAGAATTTGAGTTCTTGACAGAAGGTTCACGTTACATTGCAGATTGAGCTCAGGCGGGCCTATAACTGTGAGATCATGCTTACAAAAGTCAAAATTCCTTTGCCTGACTTGATGGTAAGATATCATTCATTATGGTATTTATTAAGACATAAATGCTGAACATTTTGATTTGAGTTTATCTCTTAGTGAACATTCTTTCTTTTCTCAGTCACTGTTTTAAGCCTTTATAAATCATGACTGCTCAAGGAATAAATGATTTGGAAGAATTTCTTGTCTCAACTGGGTAGTTCTTGACTTAGCAAGTAGTCTTTCTATTATGTGGACATAGATTTGGGCTCACTTGATGTTAAAATGCAACTTAAAAGTTTATCCACTGCCTGGCTCAAATTATGGGGATATCTATTATGACTTTAAAGCAGTATTCATGCTTTGCTGCTGCGTGTCCACTAAATTAATATTTGGCTAGATTTTATATTATTCCTCGGATTAGATACTTAAATAGGATTTGTAGAATACTTTCTCTTTTATTCAGACAAGGCTATAGTAATTTTTTATGCAATTTTATTTTGGTTTTAATTTAAATAAAAATATGGGCAGAGAAGATGTTTACACACAGAATGAGCATAAATAGTTCTTGTTGGTATTATAAAGTTTTTGGAAGGAGGACATAATAGAGACATTAAGATATTGTTATATTGTTAGATATCTTTAATTATGGTAATCTGGAAACTGGTATAAATTGATAGACATCCTTAATTGTTGTAATTTGGAAATTCCAAGATTTACATAATTACGTTAAAAAGTGAACTTTAAGTACAATTCAACTTTACAAAAAAGATTTGGTAAGGTGAGATTTGTATTTACATATATATTATAATGACTTTATATCTATTTGTTATGGGTTTCCAACACCCTCTAACATCAAGGATTGTTCATCTGGAGCGTGAGAATATATATTTTATGGGCTCATCGAGGATTTGTCATCTCGAGGGTGAGAATATGTATTTTATGGGTGGTCCTATAGGACCTAGATTATTCTCACTAGAATAGGTCCTTGTTATGCTTTGATATCATGTTAGAAAACAAACTTTAAGTCTATTTCAATCCTATTTCCTAAGATGAGTTTTGAACCTACTATTTATGATTTTGCCTTATTTATAATTTTGTCTTATTTCTAGTATATTTTGGATTTCTAACAAGTTATTTATGTACTTATTATGCTCAGTATATAATTATTCACTGTTTGTGTCTCTTGCTTTCTATTCTTCCGAGCATGGTACCTTGGACTAACAACGAACAACCCTATTTTGTGCCTTCTTGGTGGACTCACTATCCATTGGTGCCAATTTGTTTTCCTGGAAATTGTTTCCAGTTTCTTGGTACTGCCACTTCAATGTTATTTTTCTGGCTCTGTTTTTTCCAAGCCATTATGGCTGATCTTCCTATGTTCACCAACTGTGCCTACCCCACTCTATTGACAAGTTGGATGAGGCCGACTATGACACTTCCAACAACAAGCTTCAACTTAAGAGTGAAGGCAATGTTGATCTTGTGTCCACATAGGTTGAGTATGTCACAGAGGCTTGATTGTTCTTGTGGGAACAATATTGATGTCCAGTGTAGTTTCTTAGACCTACTACTTAATCTTTTCCAAAGCAAATATTTTGTGCTCGAGAGACTTGTGAAGAAGTTTGGGAATATGCATGTATTCTTTAGATCATGGATTTAGCAGCATTTATGGGGTTTCCCAATCCCTTACTAGTATTAATGCCCCTTGCGACCTTGATGTTCCTTTGGCTGAATATTTGAGCAAAGTTATCACTAATCTACATGAATTCCATGAGCTTCTACCCCTTACTGCCACCCTAGCCTAGGAACTCTTTTTTTTAATATGCTAGGGATCACTATGAGACTTTAGAATCTCAACTAGGTTGGCATCCCAAAGTTCAATATAATATGCGATTACATGAGAATCCATTATGAAAACAAAGAAAAAGGAATACAAAAAACATGGGGGACCACACCAAAATCCATGACAAAAGAAAATACACCCAAAGATAAAACCAAGCCACCTCAACAAGAACTAACCCATAAAAGCAAGGTAACACATAACACCCAACACTTACGCAAACCTAAACTTTGGAAGGCCATATCTATTCTTAAAAATATCAATAATCATAGTGCAGGAACATGAACAATGAAAGACCTTTTGTATGTTGTTGGCCATATATGGATTCTTGTGGAGTATTATTCTTTTCACCATCTTTGGTTTCTCATACTGTTCCTATTTTGAATTCCACATGCTCTACTCTGTTGTCGATGTTCTCTCTACACTTGTTAATTATCTGCCTTGGTATTTGAAAGTGGTTCTCGTGGCCTGTCCAGCAAAAGCCTATCCAGTGTGATCATTACCTAAGCTGCACAGCAGTGTACCAATGCTGTGGTCTTCATGGTGGTCCGCTCTCCACTTGGCTAATGCCACAAGTTGCAAGCCTCCTTTTACTGTGGCGTTTTTTTCTTTTTTTGAATATGGGTGTCCCTATGTTGGGATCTAAGGACTAATCTGTCAGGATTTAAACTTAAGGTGCTGAACTCTCCCAACAAATGTATTTCCATACTCATGGACCAAGGATCGAACCCCTAACTACATGTTTAAAGGACAAGGTTATCAACCAACCATGTAACATATGTTGGTTGCTCTGATATTTTCTTATCATGTTCCACATGCCATTGATCCTTGGTAGTATGAGGAAAGTTTAGCCTTTGGTTATAGTTTAAAATATTATATTGTTACTAAATGTTTTGTTCTATCTTTTAAATTTTGATAGCTAATTTCAAAAAACCTTATTTATTTTGTCGGAAGAATCACATCAACTAAAGATAAGTCAATTCATAATATATAAGTAGGTGCAAACCTCGTCTTACAAGCTGATTTTGTAAGGATGAGTTAGACTTAGAGTTTACATTTTAACATATTCAATTTAGTGTTTTTCAACTTTGTAAACCAAACTAAATTTACATTTTCAGGTCCTCTAATTGAGAAAAAATGTATTTCTCGAGTATTTTGGCCATTAGTGAATATTGTTAACTTAGGTAAATACCACATAATTGGGTTATACCTGAGGTCCTGAACATGCCATACAATATGATTCAGTTCCTCTAGGATACAAATCGTGTTATGAATACTTTTTGCTCCCGTATCCTGTTTGAATCGCATAGTGTGAATTGCGATTCAATTTGTGATACGATTCGAGATGGGTTTCTGAACCTGGTTGGGTCGACCCACCCAATTTGAAACCCTTATTTCGTCCCCCTTTGTTCTTTTTCGCGCTCTTGAAAGGTTTGTCTTTGTGCTTCTTACGTTTCTCCTCTCTCGTCTCTCCTCTCCCATCTTGTGCATGCCTCTGTCCTCTGCATTTGCGTGACTTGCTTTGGCAATGCGGTGGTCGCACGGTGGTGCGGTGATCCTGTGTTCTGTACAGGTTGGTTTCTCATGTTTCTGTGCAGGGAGTGTGTTTTTGTTTTGTATAGAAGACACATTTGCTTCAGACATGAGTAAATCAAAAAGAGAAGTTGATATTACTTGGAAGGCTGTGTTGCTGAAATTGTGAAATTGTGTGGTAAATACATATAGATACAACCAATCTATTTGACCGAGGTTGTTTTGTTATTGATTGTCTCTTTCCATATTTACATATCTTATATAATTAAGTTATATGTTACATTCTTTTAATGTTTATATAGTGTTTATGAATCGTATGATTCATGATATGATTCACGAATCAAAATTTTAGCTCTCCGTGATATGATTCACGATTCAACTACCATGCTTATACTAACTGCAACCGTGATGAATTTATGACTTTGAATGGGTTGCTTAACATTTGGTTTTACTTAAGAACTTGCATATGTAGTTATTATGTTATTAATAAAGATCATGATCATTTTACATTTCTTTTGCTGTACAAGTTAATATTCTAGTTGTCATTAAATTGCTCCTTGTAATGTTGTTTATAATCATAAGATTTCTCAGTTTATACTTATAGTCTCACATTCCAGTCATTGTCTTTCAGAGTGCTGTGCTTGCAATGGATGATACAGTATTAGATATTGATCAACTTGATAACCTCATAAAATTCTCTCCAACCAAAGAAGAGATGGAAACACTCAAGGTATCATGCCTTTTTCTTGTTTCTTCTACCGGTACTGTGTCATAGGTGGAGCATCAGCAAGTTTGGTACAATATATGTTTATTTGAGCTATAGCCATACTTTTTATGCAGAACTATGCCGGGAATAAGGACAACTTGGGAAAGTGTGAGCAGGTGGGTGGAGTTTTACCATTTGTTAACTTTTTTCAACTCTTTTTCTCACGTAAGATAACTTGTGCTAGGATGACTTTTTTTGCATTAATTGAACAATAAAAAGAATAGTCAGTGGTGAACAATATAACTAGACATGATAGAAAACTGGTACACTGATTTATTATTCTGAAAAGGATAAAAGATACAAGAGGAATATGAGACTATGTCAACATAAGACTGTATGCAGAGCTCAGTTACAAGTTAATTAATTGTAATTATCTAACATAACAGTTACATTAACCAACAACCCAATAGAAACCACTAACATGGGCCTGAGAGACCAAATCCATACATTGGTTTTGTCCCTAAGAAAGAAAAATCTGGCAGGTGGCAAAGGCTTGGTGAGAAGATCTGCCCACTGTTCTTGACCAAGAATGTGTTAAACAAAAAGCTGCTTGTTTTTAACCTTTTTGTACTCACCAAACTTCATGTGTGAGCCAAATTAGATTGTCACACTGAACAATAGGAGTATAATGAGGAACTGAAAGATCCTTCAGAAGAGTTTATAATCCATAATGTGACCTGTAGGAGCAGCTAAACCCATATATTCAGCTTTTGTGCTTGATCTTGAAAAGACAATTTGTTTTATTGACCACCATGAAATTCAATTAGGTCCCAAGTAATTGGCAGCCCCTAAAGTAGATCTTTTGTCATCAACATCCGTTGCCCAATCTGCATCACAAAAACTCTAATAGCTAGAGATTGGTGAGGAATGGCAGGATGAACAATGAGACCACCATGTAAATCCCTTTTAGGATATAACAATATTCTCATAACAGCAACCCAATGATATTCTAGAGGGGAAGCCATATACTGGCATACCCTGTTGACTGTAAAACTCAATTTTGGATGAGTTATAGTAACATACCAAAGTGCACCAACAATAGACCTGTACAAAAAAGGGTCTTGTATTAGATCTGAACCATGTTTGGACAATTTGCAGTTAGATGGCATAGGAGACAAAATGGGCTTGGGTTCATGCATATTAGTCTTGTTAAGTCAATCTAATGTAGCTTGAGTTATAATAATAGACTCATTAGGTAAATGTGAGACCCCAACTCATACTTGATTCCAACAAACTCCCAACTCAGGTGAGTTCCTTTCACATTGGTTACATTTCCCCTCAAGCACAAACTTTCTTCACCAAATCCACATTTGTAACTCATCCAAGCTGGTCACCATGACCAACGAATTTGATTCCACTTTGTTGGGGTTTGTTGAGGGGAGACACTGAGGATATTTAAGACATATAAGTCATAAGGAAACCCATATAAGGAACCATGACACCACTTCAATAAGTTTGTGGGTCATTTCTCCTTGTATGTTACTCTTCCTGCATATATTTTTACTCAATGTGGGACTCCAACTTACAGTTGACTCCAACAGTTGTAATTGTTACACTAGCCAAGAACGTTCTAACAGAAACTACTGCTGTAACAAAAATAACCACATTTAAACTGAAACAACAACACTAGCAGAGGCAATACATGTAAAACAGAGTATTACACTCACAAGACACATCAATCTTTTTTTATGTAAACCCATGTATTTGTGGGCATTGTTAATTTTGATAAAAGAGATATCACTTAAGGTCAACCTCTCAAATATATCTTACTCACAATATATAGTTTTTGCAGACTATCTTCAAGATTGCTTCTTTCTTTTCTATTTTTTTCTTATTTGCTTTTCGCATTTTGTCATAGTTCTTCTTAGAATTGATGAAAGTTCCAAGAGTGGAAAGCAAGCTAAGAGTTTTCTCTTTTAAGATGCAATTCCTGTCCCAGGTCAGAAGATAACCACACAATACTTTTAGTTATTATTAAAAAATTATGTTTTTGTGCCAGTGAAAAATTTAGCTGTTCTAGTACACCTTGCATGTAATTTTCATGTAGGTTTCAGAGCTTAAAAGAGATTTGAATATTGTGAATTCTGCATCTGAAGAGGTGAGTCATACCTTTTTGTCCTGTTGAATACTCTATTTCCTGAGTCAATGTACTTTTATATTCAGCTTCCATTGATATGTGTATCAGATAAGGAATTCAGTCAAGTTGAAAAGAATCATGCAGACTATTCTTTCTCTGGGTAATGCTTTGAACCATGGAACTGCAAGAGGTGAATTAAAGCTTTAGCTTTCACAGTCACAAATCATGTTTTTGTACAAATAACGTAGTGAAGTTTATATTGAAACATGGACTTTTCAAATAATCTCAAGTCAGATAATTTATGTTCATTCTATTGCTTGTGTTTAAGATTTATTCTTGGTCTTGATAAATTAAATTTTATATGAAACAAAACCACTGTAGCCTTGATTGTTTTCCTATTAATTCATATGATTACTGAAGGTGCGGCTGTTGGGTTTCGATTGGATAGTCTCCTTAAACTGACTGATACACGATCAAGAAATAACAAGATGACTCTTATGCATTATCTCTGTAAGGTAAACCATCTGATATCCTTAAATTTCAACATGAATTGTTTCTGTACAAGTTTAGTTGTCGTCAGTTTACAAATTGTTGTTAAAAGGATATTTTCTAAGAAGCATCTTCATTTCTTAGTATATATTGATACACTGATTGGTGAAATACAGCAAGTAATAAAGTTGATGGAGTGATTTATAGTTTACTATAGAACTTCTAAGTCTCACATCAAGTAGTACAAGATGCTTGGTGGAATATTTAATTTTAAATTTAGGAGAAAGAATATATTTCTTATTATTTGTCTCCTTCCATACATTGGATATATATACAAGAGCTTATTGAATATTTTAGGAAACAAATCCCTGAAATTGTGGGATTGTTATAATAGTAATAATAGCAAGATACAAAAAATATAACAAATTAAATACATGGGAATAATATCTAAAATTTCTTGAAATATATTGACATTCCCCCTCAAGCTGGTGAATAAGTGTTTTCCATTCCTAGCTTGTGTGATGCGGCTTGCTGCAATAGGTGCACCATACTCCTTCATTTTTCTTCTCCGTTTTTGGAAGAGGGCCTACTTTCTTTTGTTCTGAACCATGACTATTGCTCCTTCAACAATCATAGCTGAATTATCCGCAATTGGGGTCTCTAGTGTTAGACTCCTGCTTTCTTCACTTCTTAAGATCAAAATTTTTCATAGTTCAACTTTTTTTTTTTCTGAAGTGGTTGTTCCCCTTATGTCTAACATGAAATGCACCTTCAATTACATCATCCATCCTCAAAGAACCTTTGGTCTTGAGCTTGCGATTTACTAACCATCTCAGAAATAGGAAATTTCTTGAGATAACATGACTCCAATAGCAGCACCTTTGGTTTCAAAATTTTCAAGGAGTCTACATCAACATTTTTTCTAAAACCTTTTCTTCTACCTCACCATATAGCTTCATATTCATCAAATGGTAATTTTTGAGGTGTACTCCTTGACGGACTCATTCTCCTTCATCCTTTTGCCTTTCAAACTATCTTTTTAGATTCATAATCTTTGTGAACCCTACCCTTTCCTCACCTCCATATCTCAGTCAATTCATCCATATTTGCTTGGCTGTTTCCAGATGCATAATGCTAGAAAACATCTCATCTGTCAAAGCTGAATGGAGACTTGAGAAAACTTTCTCCTTCATAGTCTCCTCTTCATGTTTCTTGATTTGAGCTATGGTTGGATTAACCCTGAATTGTAGAATTTGCTTACCTTGGTCTGCATACTCTCATAAGCCCTAAGACATAATAAACATTGTCTCATTTTGACAACCCACACGTGAGAATTTTCCATGTAAAATTGAGGAACAACAAAAACAATATTGCTTCCTGAAGCTGTATTGATCTTTGACCAGTGTTTATTCTCGTCTCAATAGTTTTCAGTTTCAGCGTATAAAAATTCTGCTCCAAATACAAAAGCTAAAGGAAGATAACTTATACCATTAAAACATAAAACAGTCGTTAAAAGAGAGGAGTGGTGAAGAGAAACACAGAAATTTTGTATTTGCTGCGTTATCATACTCTTCTTCATATTTCGATTCATATTTAAGGATATAAACACATGACAAATGACAGTGCATTATCATACCCATACATGTTATCAGACAAAGATCAAGTGCCCACTACATTTACAGTACAAATTTGTCCAAATTCAGACTAAACCCATAACTGAACATTACTACAAGCAAACTTACTTTAATAAGCAAACAATTACAGCAGTAAAAAAGTAGAATTTTACAGTGAACTTAAAAAATACTCTGGAAAGTTCTGATTCATATTGAGAAAGATATCAGTTGCTTCCCAGTATTCATCCCTCTCAGCTTGTTGAGAAGAATTTATGTTTTCTCCAGTATCCATCCCTCTCGGCTTGTTGAGAAGAATTTATGTTTCTTCCTTTCTTAATTTGACTGGTTTGAGATACTGAGAGAAATAGATAGTTTTTCACACAAGGATTTTATAGCTTCATGGGAAAGAAATATGGAATAGGGCTAAAATCTGGATTTTTGGAGCCCTTCCTTCATGGTGCTTGACTGTTCCTATGATGCCCCATATCATTTTTAAAAAATAGGACAGGTGTATTCGTCTGGAATTGTTAAGTAAATATGTAACTGAAACTATGAAGATTACCAAAATCTTTTTCCTTCTACATTCTTTTCACTAAAGAAATAGACACATGAACTTCAGGAAAATGATAGGATCACTCTAAAATTATAGGTCAACATAATTGCAACACATATTGACATTCATTAGAATATTTCATCTTTCAAATGTCTTAGGCTATTTGTTGGGATTAGTTTTCCTATTTCTTCACTATCACCTAGGATTGATCATCATATTTCCTTATTTTGTCATGATTTTTTTGGAGATTCAACTGCGAATGTATGCTGTTTCCATGGATGACAGTTTCCTGCACTCTGCTTATACAACATAAGTTTGCCAGAAAATTGTCAATTTCGATTGCGTTTTACTGCAATTATTCAATGTAGATTTTTGGCTTTGCTTCTTCCTGTGAAATAATATTAATTGCTTTGGTGATTGATGAATTATAGGTGCTTGCTGAAAAACTAGGAGAACTTCTCGATTTCCATAAAGACCTAGTGAGTTTGGAGGCGGCAAGCAAGGTTTTTTTTTTTTATCATTTATTCTACTGTTATACCAAGTGGTTTCAGTGTCTGTTTTGATTTTGAGTATTCTGAGTTATAAGCTTGTGTTCCATACAGATACAATTAAAATACTTGGCAGAGGAAATGCAAGCTATCAGTAAAGGACTAGAGAAAGTAGTTCAGGAATTGACTGCATCAGAGAATGATGGACCTGTGTCAGAATACTTCTGCCAGGTATGATATGTAACTGGTCATCTAAAAATGCTTCAACCAGAATGAATTGATTTTGAATTCTCATGAATTTGGATCAATATATATTTAGAAGCTTGGCCTAGGCTATGTATGCTACAAACATCAATGTAAATCATGGCATGGTGAATATGAACATGCTGTAAACAAGGGTGCATTTGAAAGCACCTCCTTTCCTTAATAAGAATTTGACAGCACAATTATTTAGAATTTATGTTGACTTTAAAATTATGACAATAGAACTCCATAGCTAAATTGTTTTGTAATAGACTAAAGCAAATCTGGGTCAGTGATGCAGCATCATATATAATGATTAAAAGGGATGTGAAGTATCTCAGATACGTAGCTACCTTCTGTTACGGTTACGTGCATGTGCAACTCATCTGAATTATTGATTTTGCTAATAAATTTGAATGGTGATAAAATGTTTAGCTTTACCTTGAATGATTTTTTTTTTGTTCCCTACTTGGTAATGTTCAGATTCTGAAGGAATTTCTTTCTTATGCTGAATCTGAAGTAAGGTCTTTGGCTCAACTTTATGCCAACGTGGTATGGATTTAGTTATTTTAGGTAGCTTTTTGCTTACATGATGAACTGCAGATACTGGAGATGTATCTGATTTCCTGAATCTGGATGCACCAGGGTAGAAATGCAGATGCATTGGCTTTATACTTTGGTGAAGATCCAGCACGTTGTCCATTTGAACAAGGTAAACTGTATTTTTAATTAGCTTTTATTACCATTTTATGCACCAGTTTGGTCCGTTTAGTCTTTCAAAAACTACATGTTTAAGAATCGGTTGTGGATCTCAATGGACATCAATGCGATTGTTTTGTTTATGGACAACTGGTTTTCACCCGTTGTGTTTAGTTGTCTAGAAGGGTTAAGGAAGAACAACAGAAAAACTGCCAGCGTAGGGTGTACTTGATTTGTACTTTTGAAAACTACTTTTTAGTTTTCTCGGAAAACAAAAAAAAACAGACACTAATACCTATCTTGTGCCTCGGCATACCACTCTTACCCTTGACATAGAACTAAAAAAAGGGACAAGAAAACATTTCTCAGTTGTTTCTGCTTTTTAGTTTTTAAACAATTCTTTTGTTAACAGTTTTCAAAGCTTAATAGATTTTGAATGAGAATTGAGAAATTGATTACCAAGTAGCATGAAATTGTTTTACAAAACAATTTTTAAAACCAAAAAGTGAGATCTAATGGGAACTTAATCTTATTCTCAAAATCTTAGATGAGTTTAAATCTTATTATTTGGGAGAAACACTAAAGTGAAAAAGCTTTTCAGATGCTTATTTATGTCAATATGGAGATACCTGAAGCAATGTAACTATGATAGATACTAAAGAGAAAATCATTGTTTCACATTAAACTCTTGTGGCAACTTTTTGGGGGATTTGATTCTCTTCCTTTCTCTAGTTGTATCTACGCTGCTCAACTTTGTGAGGTTGTTCGTAAAAGCACATGAAGAAAATTGCAAGCAGATTGAACTAGAGAGAAAAAGAGCAGAGAAGGAAGCAGAGAATGAGAAGTTGAAGCTAGCTGCTGCCAAGAAGGAGTCTGAACAGATGATGAGGACCACTATAAAGAGTGGGGATATTAAATGATATGATCCTTTGAAGGCCTAAAAACAAGAGTTGTTCCACAGTGATAAAGATCCCATGTGGTTGGATGAAGAAAACCCTTTGCACAAGTGCAAAATCATCTTGTTCGTGGCTGCATTGACATTGATGATGACCCTATAACTCAAGTTCTCTAATGAAAGAAATGTCGTGCTCATGGCATACGGCTGAGGATTTTGTTCATGTTAAGTAATAAGCCTTCTCAAAGCTCATTTTATGTTGATATGTGTACCCTGCATTGTCATGAGTTTTTAATTGACATTCATTTCAATCTCAATTTGTTCCATGTCAAGCAGAAAAGCAGTTTTATCGTGGTCACTTCAATGAGGAGTGGTGAACTGTCAGTGTACAAATTGATCTTGTTTTACTCTCCTAGTCAAAAGTTGTGTACTCACATTAGCGATGTAAATGTTAATCCAGTGGTATATCCCCCCTATAAGATAGGGCAGTATTTGGATTTAACTTCAACTTGAGTAGAGGCACCGATACTGAGTTTTCATTTAAAGCCCTTATGCCTTACATCAACTGATGAAGGAAAATGCTTTGTAAATATTGAACTTTTGGTTAGAGTACACGTTATTCATTTTACTGAAAACTGCTTTGGTTTTCTGTATCAAATCCCATCACCCCTTCGATCAAATAGCCCTTGGAGGAATCCTTATGGCATGCTTGGATAGAAGAAAAATAAATTACCAATGATGTTATTTTTTCTATTTGGCTAGAAAGATAGTGAAAGTGTAAGGAAAAGAAATGTTAATTTATAGAAACAATTTATTTGTTCTTTCAACTATTGTTTAGATTTAAATTTTAAACTTTTACTTTCTTTTCGTTGTACCAAGCAGATTAAGGTTAATGAAAAATGACTAATTGAACCTGTCTCGATTGAGCTATTATTTTATCTTAAATTTTTCCAAATGGCACTAAAAGTAAGAAAAACATAGAAAAACTGCAAAGCTAGTATTCCAATCTGGCATTGTGAATGGAAAACTAAGATGTGGTTGATTTGGGTACACACTTTATATTTTTCATTTTCTAGTTTGTTTCCAAAAGTTTGTGTTAGTAAGAGAAATATTCTTACCATTTTCTGTACAAACTTTTGAAAGCAGAAAACCAGACAAACAATGTAACATTTCTGCAACTAGAAGTGTAAACAAAAATGAAAACAATATATTTCTTCAAAGTAAACCGACCTAAAGAAAATTTCCTCTCTCTCATTGCTACCAGCTTGCATTTCACTGAACTAAAATTTGTCTTTACACTTGTATTTGGGCTTTGGGGGTTGTGTTGGAGAAAGAAAAAAAAGATTGATTTCACTCTTCCGGAATATTCAAATTGAGGTTTATATCTTGCTGCTTGAGGTCGCCAGTGATGGTGCGGGCAACTGCTTCAGCTAATGACATGGTGAAGTCAGGATCTTTGATTAGAGAACTTACATATTCTTCAACTTTGATGTTGGTGTCATAGTTATGTTGATTCATTACTTCTTCACCATGTCTTCTATCTGTTTGAGACAATCCAGAAAGAGCCAAAATGTTCATTGCTTCTTTGTCATTTGCTATGCTAGGCAACTGGTTGGCCACTGATGAGCCTCTAGGTGTGGATGAAGATGGCTCATGAAGAGCACCATGGTTGTGCTCTCCATCATAAGTTGCAACAAGGATAGACTTATCATGTAAACATCTTTGCACCTAATGATTAAGGCAAAAACACTTCAGAAAACCATATGATAAGACAAAACAACACTGAGATTTCTTGAAGTCATACATGCACACAAAATATAGTATAATTAGTTACCCATTTTGAAGAAATGAAATGGGTTTTACTCCTAGCTAACTACACTAATAAATTAGAAAACTTCTGCTAATTCATGACCAGGTCCCTTTTCCATAATAGACTAAACCCATCTCCATTTTTGCTGGCACAGAATTATTTGACAAATAATCAAATCACCCAATGATTCCTTTTTAAAGTGTCCTTATTGAACATAAAGGTGTTGCTAACTTATGCTTTCATTGATTTGTGTAGTTTATGAAGCATCCTAGATTCTAACCTCTTTATTGTGCTTTCATTTATTAATCTTTATTGTATTACATTTTTTTATTGCTTAAGGGAAAAAGCTCAAACTGAATTTAGAATATTGCTTTCGTTCTACCTACCTTCTTTTTGGCTGGGCAAATGGGAGCCATGGAGCACCTAAAGTAAGCTCTTGGTGAAGCATTGTCTTTGGTGACCTTTTGTCCATACTTTCTCCACTGATATCCATCTTTTACTATCTATATTCCCAAAGCAAAATTTGCATCAACATACTAACTTGAAGATAGAATTTGATTTGAACATGAATTAAAGTCATTTGACCAATACACAACCAAATTTGTAGTGATGGGCCATAGCACATACCAAACTATCATCCATGGGGTGTGTTCTGACAAAGATTTGTAGTGGTTTTTTTGCTGTGGGAAACTCTAGTCTCCGTCTCTTGTTCACATCCAAGATAGCTTCGGTTACTGATCCTATTTGATTTGAACTCATGCCCTTGTGTTGTTCCTTGTTTATCTCTTGAAGATGGGACTCAAGCTTTGTGTACTTGCTGCTTAGAACTTCAAACATCACTCTTAGAGTGTTATTCTCTTCTCTCACTCTCTTTAACTCAGATTTAAGACTTTCCACCTGATCATCAAATCAAGATTGTTGCAACAAGTCTAAGAATTAGCTACATATGCTTTCAGCCTCAGGTAAAAAAGTTCACATTCAGTATACGTTTCTGAACTGTTAAGGGTAACCTAAAAGCAAACTACAGAGAAACTCAAAAGTGAAATAGAAAAACAACCACGTCTTGTTTCTTCTTTGGTGAGAATACAAAAACAAGAGTAAGCAACATAGAAAAAGGAGGAACTAGTTTTCCAGGTTAGTTTACCTTTAGATCCATTATGACTGCTGTGTTGAGGACTTGAACGAGCATCAATCACAACTGATAGAATTTCTCTTAACCAAAAGCAAACGATGATAAGAAAACTGTTAAATATGAAGCCCTCTTAGTATATAAATTAGAATAAAATATTGAATAGGGGTAGTTGAGATGAGTGAGTGAAACGAAAGAAAATCTCTTTTTTTATATGGCTTTTGGTCCCTCACTTTCTCTGGTTATTCCACAGTATGAAAAGAAAAGGAACCAAAGTAGATGGATCTTAGTAGTGAGTAAATCGTTCAATTCAACACCATGTGTTGGAAAAAAGCTTGTGTGATGGAATATTATATATAACAAGAATAAATGCTTTGAAAAGATGCATGGTGAGTCATATTTTCTAGTTTCTGCTACGCTTGTACTATGATGTAATGTTGGTGACATCTGCAGAACCCTTTCGGAAAGAAAACTTGTTTAGTTTTTCTTACGGATTATGATGTCCCCAACGTGTTCCAAGGTACACAGATAAAGCCAACAACTCTTTGATTATTTGGCATCGATGATAAAGCCATTCAGTACACACACTGCAGACTTTGTTTTATTCAATTATTTCTATCATATTTTTTCATCAACTACCAAAAATTAACATGTAAAGTTAGTCTATAATTTATAAGTATATTCTCAAGTCATTGGTTCAAATAAAATCGTTCACGTTTTATCAACCAAAGTCTCATTTAATGTTCATACATATAAAAGCGTGACTGAGAATTTTTTTTACTTAAAATTACAAGTCAAATTCACCTGAGAAATCAGTCAGTAATATATATATACATATAGCATAAATTATCTGAAAAATATAAGCACTGTACAATTTAATTGTAGTGTTATATTTTCTATTTGTGTTATTTTCCAATGAGATTTAAAGTTTTATAATGATATATATATATATATATATATATATATATATATATATATATATTGACATAGTGTTGTCATATAGAATTCCATTAGAACGTGAACAACATGCAGTGGCAACTGTTACTGAAAATGAACATGACGCGTAAGAATTTTATTTTTCTTACTGTAGTTTGTAGAATCTTCTCATGGGGCAAGACAATTCAGCAGAGAATATTTGATTGCGTTGCTGTTTTTCTTAACATCAATTGCTCAAAGTAATTTAATAATTTATAATTATTGAATAAAAATAGACAAATTTTTCATCCACCAAAATAAAAAATAAACCCTTCCTAATTTAAAAACACCGAGGGTATATATATTCTGTTATATCTTCAATTTCTTTGTGTATTGTTTACTTTTATTTTATATGTTAAAATGGATCATGTTAAAAGGTTGAGTTATATATAAATAACCATTTTCTTAATTATGGGTGCTAAAAAGACAATTTATTATGGGTTAAAGTTAATTGGGTTCTTAAATAATGAGAATCATCATTCAAACCAAGTATTGAGATTGCAATGCAGAGGAAGAAAAACAGAGAAGCAAAAATAGTTTGAATATTATATCGATTCTGCATAATGCAGATACATATATTTATACATCAAGATTATAATAAAAATAGTTATAATTCTATCTAATCTACCAGCTATATAAACATAATAATAACAAACAGAAATAATAACAAGAAAGATTTTAAATCCTAACAAGATATTAAATCATAACAGATATTAAATCCTAACAGTCCCTTCAAGTTGGAGAATGAATATCAATCATTCCCAGCTTGGAGACCAGAAATTTGAAAGCTGCGGGAGGAAGTCCTTTTGTGTAGATATCAGCTAACTGACATGCAAAAGGAATCGACAGTAGTTTAAGTAAGCTAGAAGAAAGTTTTTCCCTTATAATATGGCAATCTATTTCAATGTGCTTCGTGCATTCATGGAAAACCGGGTTTACAGCAATATGAAGGGCATATTTGTTATCACAGAACAAGACTGCTGGTTGTTGAAAAGTTACGTGAAGATCCTGTAGAAGAAAAGTTAACCATTGAATTTCGCAAGTAGCTGTGGCAAGAGCTCTATATTCAGCTTCTGAGGAACTTTTGGATACAGTGGCTTGTTTCTTCGATTTCCATGAAATAAGTGAGGAGCCAAGATAGATAGAGTAACCAGTGATACTTCGTCTAGTTTCAATGCAGCCTGCCCAATCAGAATCGCTGAAGCCTTTCAACTGTTTGATGTTATTGTTGGAAAAGAAAATCCCTTTTCCAGGAGCACCTTTAAGGTATCTAAGAATCCTAGAAGCTGCTTGTTGATGATCTATGTTGGGATTTGAGAGAAATTGACTTAGTTGTTGTACTGCAAATGAAATATCTGGTCTAGTGTTGGTGAGATATAATAATCTACCAATCAGTCGTCTATAAGAAGATGAAGCTGCATCATTTAGAGGTTGGCCAGAATTTGTGCTGAGCTTTGTATGATAGTCACCAGGAGTGGAAACGAGCTTAGAGTTTAAGTAACCTTCATCTTTGAGAATGTCCAGAGTATATTGTCTTTGGAAAATGGAAATACCTTCTTTGTTTCTAGCCACTTCAAGACCAAGAAAGAATTTAAGATTGTCAAGGTCTTTAATCTTAAATGTTGCGTCAAGAAGATGAGTAATATGAGTGATTTTTGTGAGATCATTTTCTGTGAGTACTATATCATCGACATAAACAACTAAAATAGTGACATTGGAATCATAATGTTTGGTGAACAAGGAATGACCAGATGCAAATTGGAGGAAGCCATTAGATAAGAGGAAATCAGATAAACGAGCAT